AATGGCCACGTTGACCAAGCCCATGATGATGATCGCCCGACCCAGCGTTGTGTGTACGAGCTCCCACAAGCGCCGTACAACGGTCAATGGGACAGGTGCGGGCCGAAACCAGGGGTACAGCGCCTGGCCGGGGAGGGCTTCCGAAAAAGTCAGGATCCGAATTGATTCAATTAAGAACTAGGATTCGGTCAATCTTGGGTTACGTGAGTTACGTAACGTGCAGCTCAGGATTGGGGCGAGTTCTCCAGCGCAAGTGCGAACGATTATAAAAGGGACAAACAACCAAAAAACAAATAATAATAATAATAATAGTAATAATAATAATAATAATAGTAATAATAATAAAAATAAAATAATATGCAGAGTTGGTCTCTGCAGAAAGGAACGCCGCCACAACAAACATCGAGTCTCAGCTGCGTTGAACCTCTCGCACCAATCCCACAGGATCACGGTCCCATAGAATCACACACCACTTCCGCGCCGCCTTCCCGTCCTTATCGGGAGTGCTCATCGGAGAATGATAAAGTTGCCGTGACTTGCCTGTACGAACAGTGCCGCCATGATTGCCACGCCCAGCTTGCCGTGACTGTACGGCACCTGCTTAAAGCTCAGCCAGTTGATCCGTGAGAATATCAGGCCCAGTCCCGCGGCTGCCACCACGGTGGCACATACCTGAGACGCGACCAGGCGGTGCGAAGGCGGGGAATTGTTCGGGGTGGTGAGGGGTAAAGCTGTGTGTTTTGGGCGGTGTTGTACTCCAGGGGTTCACGGAATCTGCATTCGCCGATCGGTACTACTCTTGAAGTCGTGTTATATGACAGGCGGCAGGATTTAGCTCGCACGCAACAGCTTGGATATAGAGGAGGGCTGTGCGGTGTTGTACACAATGAAGGGTAAGGAGGTAATAGCCTCCTAGCCTCCGTCAAATCGGAAACAAAAGGCGGATGAGAGTAAATGGGTATGAAAGTAAAGGCGGATGAAACACATAACGAGTTTCTGAGGAGGCGGACAGAGAGCTGATTGACATGAGCCATCAAGTACCCAAACTCGCGTAGACATTTTTTGCCTCAGCTACGTGAACCCAAACCAAGAAGCACAATAAAACGAGAAGATGTTGGGCATATTATTTAAAAAAAAACCAATGGTAAATTATCTCGAAGGAGAAAGTCAGCAAAAGAGGAAAGCAATCCAGCACGTACGTTTAGGCAGACGTGCAGATAGAACAGCCCCTGCCTGGCTGACGGTTTTCTCGTCAGGAAGCCAGTGTTCTTGAGCCGATTGCTGAACGCAGCCAGAGGCAGCAGCAGACAAAATACGATGGCCATCAGCGTGCCGTGTGTACGGAGTGTACGGTAGCTGTTGCTGCTCGCACCGCTCAGCTCCTGTACGACAGGGCCGCCGGAAGAGTTGCTGGAAAACAGGGTAACGGTCGCCAGGCCACGGTGGCGCGCCCTGTTGGATAGTACGGCACATATGCCATGTTGTAAATGCGCACAGCAGGAAAAACAGGACGAGCATCTCACAACAGTAATTGTTTCGATTACATGGAGTGTCTGCTATGCCAAGACTCCAATAATAAATCAGTCCACATAAGTACTTCATAATTACGAATAAATTGCCGTGTCTTCGTACCCGTGGTACTGCGTGACGTCATCTGTATCCGGGTTCCACGCGAAGATGATGTGATTGGGACCATCTTTAGTCAACGCCCGGTCAAACTTGTCAGAAGCGGCCAATGGCCGACGGAACGTGACGGAGGTGACCCCGCCCTCCTGTCGCGCCGAAACCACCTCCACGTCAGAGCTGCCACCCTGTGGATTTGCACGGGAGTTTTTCTAGGTTTAAACTCCCGAGATTCGTTTTTTTTCGAGTCCGCTTTAAAACTCTATCGTAGATTCACTGCACTTACCAATTGGCTGTCGGGTTGCGGCGGTGCGAAGGTGGTTGCCCACATGTCTTCGATCTTCGTTGAACCATCGGGAAGCACTCGCGCCATCATCACGTCCGCATCCACCATTGCCGAAGTGGGAGATGCCGCCACTCCGAAACCAACCCAGCCGGTACTCGGTGCTGAGATCTGTTGCAGTTGGATTCGTTTCAAAGCGTTGGTTGGTTGGAAGTTAAAACAGTTACCTTTATTCATGGCAACAGGCGTTCGTGCGTACAGGTAGGATCACTGACCAACTACTTTTACATCCGCGAAATATACGACAATTCTGACGTAGCTATCTTAGGGCCAACCCAGTTGTTTCATACTCAGACCCTATGTTATTGCGTCTTCATGCAAAGGCTGGCTTGGGGTTTCATACATCACAATCATAAACAAGATCTGGACGAGCAACTAACCGTAATTTCGACCATCTCCGGGTCCGTGCGCGACTCGGGAAACTTCCAGCCTAGCTTGTACTGCCCGTTCGCCAGGAACACCTGAAACTGGGGTTAGGCAATGACGACATGACGATGATGATGATATTGATGATAATTATAAAATAATAATAATATAGCAATAATAATGGTACTAGTAAAATATTATAGCATTATATACTATATTTTATACTATATTTCAGTATAAATAGGGAAAAGAGCACCAGCCGACGCGAAGGCGGAAATTACATGGGTAGCAATATCAAGGAAAAGTACTGCCGACGTTCCGACGTCCCAACGACTGCCGACCGGGACCTAGGGGGACCTAGGGGCGGGTCAGGGACGGGGGGTTGTGGGGTGGGAGCCCTGCGGGGACCGGAGGAGCATTCTGGCGATATGGGCCTGAGGACCAGGTAGCGTGGCTGCGGAACTTTTTAACTATGTAAAAAGCATTTCCCCCAAGGTCCTTCTGTCAGGGGGTGCCAAAAGTACTACTTATATTTCTATGGGATTTTTTCTCATTGTGGCTATGAGCAAATAGCGTGGGTCAGACCGTTTAATGCTACACACTATATACACCCGGTTTAAGGTCCTGGGTTCGATTCCTGGGGAGACCCCCGAATTAGTCGGGAGCGCGAGATTATGGCTAGCTGCTGAGATGTGGAGTTGAGGTCACAGTTGATGGACCAGATTCGCACGCTGGATTGGTAGCGATTGCCGAACCCTCCGTCTCTTCGGGTGTTCGGGTGAATGGATGAGGAGGGGTCCCTGAAGGCTGGATCCGCCGCCTTGGACTTACAGTTCGTATGGCGAAGACAGTGTGGTAGTGGTGGATGGTGCTATAAGGTGATACATGATCGTAGAACTGACAATGTGATAAAGCGGCCCAGAAGCCTCCCACTCTGTAACATTACATATACACCCGACGGTAGGGCCCCCCAGCTTTCAGCAGCCCCCCTATTTGGTTCAAGGTTCGGGTGTATGCAGAGGTACCCTATGGGCGCCTACCCTACGATAATTTTTTCCCAAGCTCCAAATTCCAAGTTTTTTCCGTAACCCTTCCGTAACCACCAGCTATCACCAACAGCGGAACACAAGACACGTGCCTACTACAGCCGTCTAACGAACTCTAGGCTCCTGCCACGTCGCCACCGCGACAGCGCCATTTCTGTCTGGTCTGCGGCAGCGAAAGAGACCACTGAGACAAGCGGCCATTGCTTACCACCGTTACCCACCCGCCCTGGGGGTGTGTTTCGCAACCCCTCCCTCCCCCCTCTCCGGGTCGAGCTACCCCTCCCTAATCCCCGGAATACGGAGAGGCTAGTAAGTATACCACAGGGACAGCGTCACAATCACAGTATACATGGGACGATTCGAAATTCCAACTAGCTAATACAAGCACTTGAGCACATCTATTCAAAAGGACTTGCGAGCATACTAGCACGTTTGATCCGTCACCCATCATCATCATTAACAGCAGCAGAGCAGCAGCCTGGTGGTGGCGAAGCACGTCCGGTCACACATGGCTGTGTTACCTTTCCTCTCCTACACACTGTATCTTCTGTGTTTTGCGGTTGATAACTATTGCGACTTTATTGGCAGGTAGGCAAAGCCCTCATGGCTCGAACCAGCCGTGTTTGCAGATGTGAGGGAGGGGTTTACGCACCTCCTTTTGAGCTCGCTGGTGAGCTTTTCTTTTGCTTTACTGACGCTCAGAAAGAGCACCCCCCGGTAAGCCCGAGTTGAGCCCTTGGGCAAAACACACGATAGTGCGGACACGCCTGTGTGTGACCCGTCGTCGTCGTCACAAGCCCCTGACGGCTGCCGTACAGTTCCGTACCTGCTGAGTGCCGCCCTGCAGAGTGGCGTTAGCGACCCCGCCGTTGGCGGTGCCGTTGGCGTTCGCGGCTGGCCAGGGCTGCTCTAGATTCACGTGCCATAGGTCGTCTGGGAGGACTTTGATGTCCGTGTTGCGCAGGATGATGCTGCGGAGGTCTGCGAACAAGTGAATTAGAAAAAAGGAACGGGATAAGTTCACGTCCTTCACCAGGAAATTGTTACTGTAGTGCGGTGCTGTAACACAGCAAAGGCGTAACCCGAGATGCTCAGATAGGCCTTGCGTCGTTACAAGTGCAATGCAGTGAAGCGAAGTGACGCTAAGGGAAGGGAAGCGAATTGAATTAAAACGTCATGAAGGGAAGGGAAGGGAAGAAACTGCCTCCTTTTTCGGGGCCCTCTCTTCAGGGCGACGGCTCCCCAGTCCAGCACTGCACGCGCGACAGTGTTGCCCATCATTGCAATCTGGACATTACCCACCGGTTGCCTTGATGGTGTTGATCTCGGACAAGTTGAAGTCGCCGGTCTGGTTGTTCTCAAAATAGTACCTGACGGAGGAAACCGTGCAAACTATCATCAGAATTCTGCAGCCGTTGAAAACGAGAAGCAGCAAACCTTAATAAAAAAATAAAAAAATTGAAAAATAAATTAAAAACGTAAGGATTAATATTGACATTCTATAATTTATAAATACCATAAAAATTTTAAATTGTTATGTCCTATTACGTTTTATATTTTTTCCTATAGCAAATATTACATGGAAATCGCGTTCTTAAAAAATTATGGGAAGTATCCAACAGTCAATCCAGTGCAGAGGCCAATAGGGTTGCACCCGATGATGCCCACCAGTCGCCGTCGCGAACCCTCAGGTACTGGTCCGTAAGGGAGGCATTGAACAGCGGCCCGAAGTGACTGCCAGGCAGCTTCCGCTCCGCCAGACCGCACACGTACGCGTCGCACTTGTCCGGCGTGCCGTACAATTGCGTCAGCACCTTTACCAGGGACCTGTGCTCCCAAATTAACCGACGACCCATGTGAAAGAGGGGATGAGGGCGAGGGATGTACGGTCGTACGAACAGACAGAGGTACGAATACAATCACAAGGGTGTAAATAACTCACACACATGGTGACACTGGGTGTTCAAGAGATCTGTCGTGCGTGTACGACGCAATTATGGACTGCAGATGCACAAATAGGGGGCCAAAGATGAGGACATGCGGCAAACGTCGTTTAAGCCAGGTAAAATGCAGCGTAAGCTTTCATGCGAGGGCGCATTACTCCATCTCCTCGTCGCCGTCGTCCAACTGCCACGTTACCCACGTGCCACTGCTACGTCTGTTACTGCTACTTGTGCCCCGTTACGACACACTGTTTACACCCCGTTACGACACACTGTTTACACCCCGTTACGACACACTGTTTACGCCCCGGTACGACACACTGTTTACGCCCCGTTACGACACACTGTTTACGCCCCGTTACGACACACTGTTTACGCCCCGTTACGACACACTGTTTACGCCCCGTTACGACACACTGTTTACGCCCCGTTACGACACACTGTTTACGCCCCGTTACGACACACTGTTTACGGGATAAACATTACGGTCCTCTGAATGGATCAAGAGGCCCATATTCTGATGTATGACGTGCGGGTCTGTACGGCAGGAGTACTACAAGTATCGCAAAACCTTGGGTTGTGCATGTACTGTACAGTGAGCACTTGTGTACAGGTATGGAACCGCGTGCCGTGGTAGCGCGGTACGATGCGCCGTACTCACGGGTCATCAGTGAGGTTCTGGAATGTGGGTACGGCAGCAAGAGCCAGGTCCTTGCGGCAAGTGTTGTAATCGGGAACACCGTGATCTCGGCCGCGCTGAATATTTCGCGCGAAGAGATCGGTACCGTTTACGCCTGCATGCCGTACCGTGCCGTACCGCGGGAACCCAAACCAGATGGTAAGCAAGAGTGTACTAGGAATTGTACTACGAAGAATTATACGACTGGATGCGATCGTGGATGCTAACAGTATGTACCGTATGCATTGATGCATGGATGGATGGATGGATGCAGTGTTTTTTTTCGTGGAGGCCGATCCTGAATCTGTTACGAGTTCCGTAATAAATATGCCATCAGTCCAATACGTTTATTACTGCCAGAATTTTTTTTCTGGGGGGGCAAGCCCCCCCA